AGATTGCCATGGAGGAACCGATGTGAATCTAGTGACAGCACTAGGATTCTACAGCATGTTTGGTTCTTTAGAGTCACTATTGAATCTAGAACAGAAACATGAGATGGTCACAGCCATCAGCGTAGAAGTATTCCCAGGAGTTCTGCAGACTGAGCAGAAGTATATAGGTAAATGGAGGGAAGCAATCGAAACGGAGATGAACATCAGACACAGCGAAACTTATTGTAGACCATCAGGAGCACGATATTTGGTGGGTTCAACGTTGGCCCCAATGTGCAAGAGCAGATACCCTGTACATTTCGTGGCTGTGGACGTGAAGAGTACAAGAACGATCGTGGATCAAGCTTTCTCAGTGCCAAAGTGCGTGAGATTGGCGAGAATGTCTGAAAAGTCTTACGAGTTACTATGTAAGATGTTCTCAGCAGTTCCAGAGAGAACCAAAGAGGAGTTGGAGTCAATACTAGGAAAGAAGTTCATGGGATATGTGAGCGGGAACTTCAGTGACTTTGAAAAACAGAAACAGAGAGGATCAACTGTCACAGATTACAATGCAGTAGATGAGAATGATGAGATCCACCGAGTAATGATGGAAGTGGAACCATTGCTGGAAGCTTCAGGAAAACGCAATTGGAGGAGCATCATGTTGACACATGACGAGATTCCTTGCCACTGCTTGCTGCAGACCTGGTGGTATCCCAAGCGTAGTAATTTGGTGTTGATCTGGGACTCTGGAGAGCTGCTCTCCATGGGTTTACCAGATTCATCACAGCCCATAACAATAGTGATAGTGGGAGTTATGATGGCGATACGATGGCTGGAAGCTCATGTGAGAGAAAATAATAGACAGGAGGCACCGACGAGAGAACAATTGCAGAAATTAGATTGTCTAAAAGATTTAGATCTTTTCGAGACAATGTGCAAAGTTCTAAACATTCCGATGGAAGTGAAGAAGATATGGGCAAGAAAACGATTGATGCCATGGTTCAGAGCTAACATGACTGCATGGTTGTACGAGTATGCGAAAAAGCATATGTCGAAACATGGCAGAGTGTACAGTGAATATCAGCTGGACATTGGGGCAGGAGCTTTCAAGCGAGCTTTCGTGACCCATCGGAATGCAGTGACCACCGCTGTGAAAAGAATTTCCAGGACGAGCGAGCGTAGTGGAAATGAGAAGGCAGAGATGCTGAAAGAAGATTTGGAGAGAAACGTGACGTTGTGTCTCCACAACAGCTTCTGTAGAAACAGAGAATCAAACGTGGATCCCCTACCTTGCTGTAAACAGAGGGTAGAAGAGCAGAAGTGTTGGAGGACGGCTTCCAGCAGCGTCAGGATAGCCAATGATGTGCTACAGGACACGGAAACCGAGAGTGCGGAGTCAGTGTCACAGGAGGAGGAAATGGAGCATTGACGAATGGTCGAGAAAACAAAAGGCAGCAAGAAAGAAAATTAGAAGAATTTAGAAGTTTTAGAACTTCTAAACGACGAAAAAAGAAGAGAACAAAGGGATGATGAGGAAAAGTTAAAACTCAGAATTGTTTTATGTGTGTGAAAAACTCAAGTGAGAAACCAAGCAACCAAGTTGTAATTGAAAACTGAAACATTTAGTTGAGTTTTGAAATTGTTGCATTTATAAATTTGCATTTTGGTTTTAGTTGAAGTGGCTTTAGAGACACTCCCTTATTATTTATTTAGAAAGGCTTGAGGGAAGAGTATATTTAAATATTCCAGCCTGCATGATTGTTTTTAATCACTTAGGAAGACTGATCACTTTGTGGTGACATGAAAAACTTGAGTAACTTCTTGAGGAGGGAGGTTGTTGCATTGTTCTTTCTAACCACAAAGTTTCTTAGTTTTAATATTCAGGGCAATAAACAAGCAAGATTTCCGAAGGGAAGGAGCATAGTAGGATAATTTTAGCTTGTTGGTTGGCAGGACTGTCCTGCAAGCCAACACCTTTTAAATCTAGGAGAAAAAGTTTCAATCGGGACATTGACACTGGAAGTCAGAAAATATGTTTTATCTTAAGTCATATCCTCAATGGGCAGATTAATGAAAGAATTTGAAGGCTATAGTGATGTAGTATGATGCCATTTATATTCTGCAGTGAGTCGATGTGACGTAGATAAAAGTAATTTCGTGCATTTTGTAAATTCTGTTCGATGACACTGTAACCATTTAGAACATTGCGCAATTCAATGAGGACATTGACCGGACTGTCCGGGGAGTATGTGACATTCGACCAGAATGGCCAAAATGCAATTTATGCAGGATTCGAATTTTGAGCAGTAGGCCTTCCGAGTTGATGATTTCGAGGGATTGGCGACGTTATTGGAACGTTTGGCCAAACGGTGAGGGCTAGAATGTTCTGGTATTTTAGATTTTCAAGGATTCGAATGATGACGTCACATTTCGGAGAAATGCTGAAACGGCCATTTTTAACAACAAACGAGTGAAAAAACAGAACAACTTTTATCTGTGATTGCGAACAGAACGAAAATCGAGATAAAAAAAAAACGACAACGAACTACAATAGCAGAGAACGTTCCAAGTTGCAACTATTGTGCTGCTACAATAGTTGCAAGGCCGTTGTCAACAACGGTGAAGGGTGAGAACCAGCCTTCCGGATTAGCAAGAAATCAAGAGTAAGGAGCTTGATTCAGCGGATTCAAGAATCCGGAAGGGTCTCGGGACGGAAACTTTTATTAACTCACATAAACTTTTAGCATCCTGTCATGTCCTGACTTGAATTTAACTGATATTTTGATTAGTTTTGACAAGGATGAGGTGCTAGGAGTTGGGGGAAAGGGTTGATCCATCTCCGATGGAGATGATGATTTTTATCTACTGAACAAAAACAATAGTAATATGATAAGTAGTAGCCCTGTTTTTAGGAGTGACCTCGTGGTCTGGGGATACTGAGACCCAGCCATGAGCTCACAATTTTTGCATGTAATTCAGTTAATTTGAGCGTTCTGGTCGAAACCGGAGAGCAGTAACGTTTTTGTCGACCCGATGTAAGAAAGACCGCCGAAAAGTACTGGCTTGGTAGAGACGGTGAAAAACATGCAAAGCTCTGTTTAGACGCTAGCCAGTCGTCTTAAGACTTAGTTTTGTTATCCGTCGATATGTATCTTCCGGGCGAATGTTACATAAACTGGACTAGAGTGAACCTTCGGTGGAAAGGTGGACAGCTAGAGTGTCCCAATGGTTCACGAGAACTGACATTCTAGAGTACAAACTTGTTCTTGTTATTAAAACTGACAAACATTAAACTCATTTTAGTTATTTTATTGATTCTTGAGTTGCACACCGACTTATTTACTTCCTGGTTCTTGAGCGTGCTACAATGTGAGTACTAATTTAAATTTCTAGAGTGTGTTTTATAATTGTTATGTTGAGGTAAGGCGAGTTTTAGGTTGATCCATCTGAAATGGATCAAAGTTCCACTGTCTAATAAAAAGTAACTTAACTGATTGTTCCGACCCGGTTTTTAACGGCGTTCATGTATTTTGGGTATCTAGAGACCTGAGTATGGGGACGTTATTAATTCTAGAGTGGGGGGGAATATTTTAGTAGTAGCCTTTAAGCTGTAGCGGGTCGTGGTCTCGTGTCACAAGCGAACCGAATTGGCTCCGACTGATTTGAGGTGGAAAAACACAAGAGATAGTGTCCCTGACTCTTGAGCCAATAGTTATAGGGCCTATTTTTCTTAAGCCTCATGTGTGACTGCAGTAGACGAATGTTACATAACTAAGTTAATTTGCGCGGTTTGGCCGATAGCCTTTAAGTTGTAACGAATTTTTCGACCCAATGTTAGTGAACCGCACATTGAACTGGCTTGGCAGAGACGGTTCAAAGCATGTTAAGCTGAGTTCAGACGCTAGCCAGTCGTTTTGTAACCTAATTTTTTTGTCGGTGTGTATTTTCGGGCGAATGTTACCTTTCTGCAGCCACTGCAATCACATACCATTGGCCGGCTGTAATTGCTCGTCGTCTTCAAACTTCGGGTTTTCTAGCCCAACCATCTAGTGAAATCTACAATTTCATTCAATCTGTTTTTTGTTCCACAAGCTCTGAACGTGAATTTTCATCCTGCTCTTTCTGTTCTTGTTCTACTTAATTTAATAGTCTCGCAGTTTCTTCCCAATATATCATTTTTAGCTGTTAAATTTTGGTTGAACTCAGTTTCAGTACTCATTTTAGCAACCAAAAGAATGTCATTCAGCTGAGGAAACATCGGGAGTGGTTACAAATTCAGCGTTTTAAGTTGACTGAGGTTACCGCCGTCTTTTTTTTTGTTATTATTTTTGCATTAGCCTCCGGCCTGCTCAGTGCAGGACCAATCGTGGGGGAGGGAGATGTCATCCATTTCGCCACAGCCGGATTTCGCCATCTCTTGTCCCAGTTGTCACTGTGTGATATGATTTCAGCAACTAAGAAAAAAGACACCAGCTCTGAAGATTAAATTGTTGAACAGCAGTGTAAACTAAGAAACTACAACGCACTGCTGAAATTTTAAACTGGCGATTGCAATTATAGTATCTTGGGGAATTTTTGGTTGTGCCTATTTGATTACCCTTGTACCGACGCAGGTGACCTGGTGTATTCCCACAGCGCCGATTAATCGCAACGCCGAAAATTATTAAACTATTCACAACGCAGAATGATTGTTTTAAATACATTTCTGAGTAAGAAATATTACCAATTTGAGGTGGTCAATCAGTTTTACCGCAGAGGAGCCCAGAATTTGAACGATTATTAGACTTTGATGTCGGAAATTTGCCGCAGTTAATTTTATTCAAACCAATTGTTTGTAATTTGGAACTAAAAAATTTCGACGCTTTGAAAAGCTTTTTATTTTTCGGCGTTGTGAATAGTTGTTTAATTTTCGGCGTTGTGAATAGGTGTTTAATTTTTTGTCGCTGTGAATATGGAACGGTGAACCATTCAGCGACTGCTACTTGTCTTTTTATGATTGTTTTTTTTTGTCATCTTTCAGAAAATGGATTAGATTGATTGATAATCAATCATGAGCTTACAAAGACTTGCTCATGCCCTCGGCCCTCAAAGAGTGCGAGTAATACTGATGGGTTTTGGCTTTCTCTGTTTATTCGCAGCATTCTCGACTACATCTGGAGTTGAGGTTAGAAAATTTTTTAAACACCATTTCAACCAACTGATTGTATGCTAAAGTTGACCATTTCACAGGCAACTGTTATCGATGGCTTCAAAGATGACCACAGTAGTTTTAAAGGATCAGGATATATCAGGTTTTCGTTTCTTTTTATTCACTGCGATGTAAATAATCGACACCGCTGGAGCTTTTCTATTGATGTTTGAATAAAATGTCAAAACTGAAGAATTGATTTATTTTTGTTTCGAACATTGAAAATGAGGAGGAATTTGTATTTCGGTGTGTTTTATTTCTTTTTGTTTTCCACGCAAAATCAGGTGCGACAAATAATAATCGGAATGGATTAGAACCATAGTGAAAAATTTTCAAAAAGTTGTCTCAATGTCGAGAAAAAAAGGTTCCAAATTTTCGAGTTTTAGTTCATTTCAAGCGAGTTAAGCGATCGAGTAACATCGGTTAGATGGAATTTTATCTTTTATTTAAGCTATTACGCTTTGGAGACTAAAAAAGAAAACTAGTTGTGGAAGTTCCATTTCGTTTTTTTTTCTATGATCGGTCGGAATATTCTGTGCTACTTGCACAGCAACCGGCTGTCCTTGTTGCTATTTCATAAATAGTGATTATTGTTTAGCTTGTCAGTACTTTACATAACTTTCGCTTTCTCAAACTGGTTCGCGCCTTCTGTCATTGCAGCTTTTGGAGCCAAATGGAGCTTGTTCATATCCAGCTTGAGTTACACGTTAGTATGAAGATCAAAAAATGTATAATCATTAAGTCAATTGGAAATTTGGTTGCTTTAAAATTGTTTGCTGCTTCAGATTGTTCATTGCGATGTTCTTCTTTTTGATCACATGGGTGTTTTATGCTCTTAGTGCACTTGTTGGACTTGGAGCTGCAGGTATACTTGCGTTTTACTCAGTACTTACACTTGAGTTGCCATAGTTATCAAATCGGTTAATATATTTTTTGCCCCCAAATTTAATGTAACAAAACTTTTTTTCCTGCGAAAAGTGCGATTATGTATTTGTGGGAATAACCTTGACGGTAATAATAATACAGAGTTTAAGAACAGAGTCAAAGGAAAATCAATTACAATAAGTTAGTCTGTTCAAAAGCGGTTTTTATTAGCCCTCTCCAAGATGTCAAGTTTTGCAAACTCATTGAAGAGGTCACAAGAGCGCCACCTAGTGCTCATAAATCAGACAAACTAAAACGCTGTCATGATTATCTCTTGATTGAATGGGATCTCGTTAGCACACTGACTGACACTAAAAAGTTTTGTTTAAATTGATTTCTTTTTTCCGTAATGGATGCACTCTGCCGTTGTATAAGTTTCAAGCAGTTTTTTTTTCAAAGGCGTGACTGCTTTGTGTAGTTGCAAATTTGGGTGGTTCAAGGTTTCATTTGAGTTTGAAAAACTACTGGTATTCGCACTAATTTGAAAAAAGCAATTGTTTAGCTTGTGTTTCTATCCTTTATTTTTGCAATTTCCTCGACGTTGTTATTTTCTGTGAAGATATGCTTAAATTGGTTTGATCTCTTAGTTTTCTTGGTACTCGAAAATGTTTTTCCGTCGTTTTTTTTCTGAATTGCAAATGGTGCGAAGCTCTGCCTCGCTTGTGTCCAGGTGTCATTTGCCAAGAATATCATTCAATTTTTCAAAGTCTGCCGGATATATTACCAGTTTGGTCTAAAAGCCGAGCACTTGAGGGCAATTTAGTGAAATTGGACTTAGTAAGTAAGTAAATGTTTTCGGAATTAAGTTTCATTATTTTTGTGCCGTTTTTTGTTTCTGTTTTGCATATTTTGTTCAAGAATCGTAAATTGTCTATATTAGATTTGAGACAGCATCAATTTTTTCAAATTAAATTTATATGAACACACAAACTCAATTTTAATTCGCTAAGTTACCAAAGAGTTCAATCTATTTTTTTTTCATTTAGTTCTTTTTCTCGAGTGTTTTTGAGGTTTTTTCCGAAGCTTACTGCATAGCATTGAATTTTTAAGCTAATTGTTTCCGGCATTCTGATGCAACTTTCAATTGAGTTTTGAATTTACATATTTGAGGTAATTTTTTGTTTTGACCTGGAAACCATTTTTTAACTCAAAGGGTCTGCCGTTTTGACTTTTTTCTTTTTGCAACATAAGTATTTTCAAAATTCCGCTTCGCTTGTGTGTGAAAATGCAGTTGTGGCTTTTGAAATATGAATGAGCTTAAACATATTCATGAGCTTTCGGGCAGCTAGAATCTTGTCAATTTTTCATAGTGAAATGGCTTGCGAACGTTTTTACTCCAGGAAGTCATTACGTTCACTTCACTTTGCGGTAGCCGTTTTTTTTTCATATTTCAAAATCGTTGGAACAAAGGTGAATAAATTATTTAGTGCTGTGGACATCGCAGGGTGCATATTTATCAATGAACTCCAACGCAGATTCTATTTCAGTCAACTCAGCCATATTTTGGGCATTGTTCCAAGCAGCGTGGGTGAATCTATTTGTGTTATTATGTAGTACTCTACTAAATCATAGTTGAGGAGCTAATGATAATAGTTTTTCTCTCTTTTAGAAATGGTGGAGGCTTAATCGCTACCTTTCTGTTTCAAGGAAATTCGGGCGTTACAGGTATTTCATAGTCATATCAAAAAAATTTCAAGTTCGGTTTTGTGTTTAAAGTGGACTAATGTAGCCTTTGTGTTATAGACTCTCAGAGAACAGAGTTGTTCACCATTTTACTCGCAGTATCAGCCGCAGCCAACATCATTTTCCTCTTTCTTCCTCAAAGCGCGCTTAAATCTGAAGGACAAAATGAGCCAAACCAAAGCAGTATTCAAAACAAAATCGAAATTCACACAGAACCGGAAGATAGTGAAGCAGATAATTTTGTAGATGCAGATAGCCAGCAACTACTGGATGAAAACGAAGATGCTGTCGGAGTTCAAAACGTTGAAGCAGTACGTGGTATCAAGGATGCTTTAGGTGATATTTTAGTCTGCAACTTATCTCGTAAACATGTTATAAGCTGTAGTCGGAGAAACAAACCTTGTTTTTTAGTTAAATCTATGAAGCTGTTCGCCCAGAAAAGAATGATTCTACTGTTCTGGACATTTTTCTACACAGGTTAGCTCAATGGCACGTGGTTTGTTTGAGTTCATTAGAGTATTTTGATTATGTTTGTTTCTCTCCAGGAATTGTAACTAGCTTCAATACTGGTATCTATGGAACTTGCTTGGGCAATACTGCTTACTGGAATAACTCAAAAAATTTAGTCGGACTTACGACAACCGTTGTTGGACTGGGACAAATTATAGGTTTGGAACTTTTCAGATTCATTCATGTACAGTGCCGATTTTAATTATCCGGACAAAATTATTAATACTTAAAATTTAAAACGTTGTTCTCAATTTGAGTTGATTTTACAAAAAAAAATCTGATCGAAAGTAGTTTTCCTTAAAATTTCAACAGAATTATTATGGTGCAATTTGTTTTGCAAAGTTCGAGCCCAAAAATTTACCCCAAAACTCAATATTTTAGTCAATCAAAAATTGCTCCCAACCTATTGGTTCATTCACTGAGAAAACTATACAACTGCAAGCATCTTATGTAGCCCAACAAAGTTTAAGAAATGTATAATTTTCAATTTTCTCATCTTTGTATAAAGATATTTATTTTCGTTTGATAGCCAAAAAATGTAATTTTTTGCTATATAAAAGACCAATGTTTTCTACGTAACCTGTTGCGCTCACTTTTGGATATTACACCCTTCTTAATTTTGATGAGCTACATGAGGCTTGCAGTGATATAGTTTCGTCAGTAAATGAATAAATAGTTTGGAGTCATAGTTTTGATTGACTAAAAAAGTCAAAAATGATCGTTTTTGGGCCCGAATTTTGCAAATCAAATTTTAATTCTTTTAAAATTTGAGGAAGATCGTGCTTGATCATTTTGTTTAAAATCAACCCAATGAGAGAAAAACGCATTTTAAATTTCAAGATTTATTCATTTTGTTTGGATGATTTAAATCAGCAAGTGAAATTACACTACATATAAATTGAGGAAAGTTAAGCAGCAAAATTAGCGGGATATCTGTTTTGAAACTGATATTTTGAATTAAAAGTCAAGTGGAAACTGAAAATGGCACAATTGCAGTGAGGCTTACCCAACAATCATGTTGCAGCAAGTTCGAAATAGGCGTGTACACTAAAATGTGCAAATTGCGATGTTGTAAGTTAGCCGTAGTTTAGTTAAGCTTAAATAATTGACCATTGGTTGAGAAAATAATTGAACACTGGATAGTAGCCACATATGCCAGTTTAAGTCTGAAGTATCTCTGTTTTCAGCCTGTTTGTTCGGAGGAATGAGCAGAAGATTGAAGCTGAGGGGCGAAACAGTTTTTCTCATAGGGGGTGTAGTGCATCTGTTAACCTTCCTTCTCATCTTCATCAACCTGCCCACTGACTCGCCAATCGAACGCACTCTTGAGAAAGCATACATCAACCCCAAGTAATAAGTAGTTATTTAGAGTCATTAGTCTGTTTTTTCTTTCATGATTTGATGTAGTGAGGATCAGTTGTTGTTGGTCATATTTCAGTTATTGTTGCGATCACCGCAGTCTCGTGCTTTCACGCAAAATCAGTTGCCTCAAAGTCGCAGGATTCAAGTAATAGATATATCACATTGAAGCCCTTAAGCCGTGATTAAGTGTAAAAGAACGTAATGAAGACTAAGAACTCTTGATGATTTTTTGTTTGTTTATGGAAGTCCATAAACATATCGAAAACTCTTACAAAGGTCGTGATTTTTTCAGGAAAAGTTTGAAAATTTGTTCTAGCTCAAGTTTGATTTTTCGAGGTTTGACATATGGTTTTTTAAATTCTTTATGGTTTTCTAAGTTCATTTCTTTTGTGAAAAGAAAGCCAAAGTGTAAAGGCAACGAAAAACGTGATTCACTTCTAATTTGAGGAGAGTGCATTTTAGTTTTTAGGCTTCTCAGCTGATTAAAAAAGTTACCTTTTGATCCAGTTTTTTTTTCAAATTGATTTGATTTTATCAAAAAAAAGTGCCAATCATAAATTGTTCTAGAAATTCAAAGATTTGAGGGCATCTATTTTTTGATTTGATATTTGTAAGTTAATGTTTTTCAAAAACTGGCCAGTATTTTTTAAGAGTCGATGGGTATATGTATATCTTATATGATATAAGGTATATCTTTACTGGTATATGTTTTTTCTTTTAAATTCGAAAGTTGAAGTTTTTCCAAAAAAAACAAGTGAATGTTTTTTTGTTTCCTTGCTTTCATTGACCCTTTTCCATATGTCTGTTGCATATGTTCATGTATATAGGTCTCGATGATTTTTTGTTTTATTTTCAGGAAAAAAGTATAAAATGCTCTAATACCTGCAGTAGTGCATCAGACTTATTATTCAAATATGAATGAACTTAGGTTTATATGATTTCAGGTGTATATGCCATTAGGTTTATATGCACTATTTGAATTCAATTGGCGAAAGCTAGGCTGCTTACGCTCTCCAAATACTAAATTAAATGGTGAAAAAGTGGTCGACTTCTTCTTTCGAAAGTGCATTTAAGTTTTCAGATTCACCAGCGGAATAAAAAGTTAATCCATTAATCCAGATTTCTTAACTTGGGTTAATGTTAAGAAAAAGGTGCTATCATAAACAGTTTTTGAACTTCAAAGAGCTTTAATTTGATATATTGATAAATTCGGTTTCCTGAGATTCTTTTCTTTTTAAGAGTCATGAACATTGTGAACACTCTTATATAGGTCATGGTGATTTTTTTTGTTCCTAAGAGTAATGGACTTAGCGAGTACTCTTATATAGGCCTTGGTTAGTTTTTTCTCCACGCTCAATTTTGATTTTTTTTGTGGATTGACGTGTGATTTCGTAATAAGTTCATTGTATTTCTATTAAAAGGAGAGAGAAATCCACTATCGATCAGTGTGTTAAGAAGTGTACAGGTCATGAAAAACGTCATTGACTTCTAATTTCGAAAATGGAAATTAATAATCAGATTTACCAGCGAAATGAAGGTTTTACTTATTGGTCCAGTTTTCTCAAATTGGGTTAATTTTAACAAAAAATGTTCATCATAGATTTTTCTACAAACTCAAAGAGCTTCAAGGCCCTCTATTTTCTTCGAAAGTCAAAATCTGAAGGTTTTCGGAGAAAAAAAAGTCTGTTTTTTCTTTCAGTTTCCTTGCGTTCATTACTCTCTTCCAACTGTCTGTTGGCTATATATTTTTTATTGAAAAGCCTTTGAAATTGTTCACGCTAACTTTTGATCATTCGCGGTTTGACTTCTGATTTTTTTTGCAAGGAAGTCAATCAGGCTTTTCGTAAAGGTCACGAAAATCCTGATTGACTTCTAGTAATAGCGTAATACCTATTGATCCAGTTTTTCTCAAATTCGACCAACTTTATCGAAAAAATGTCAATCATAAACTGTTGCAGAATATCATCTTTTATAAATTGTTCTAGAAGCTTAAGGCCATATATTTTTTTCTTGGAAAGTTGAAGTTTTTTTTCATAAATAAGGTCAGTTTTTTTTTCTGTTTCCTTGCTTTCTTGACGCTTTCCCAACTGTCTGCTGGCTATGCTTTATTTTTCCAACCTTCTGTTGGCTATGTTTTGGGTAGCAATGAAGACATCGGATAGTGTTTTCTGTATGTCGAAAAACCGTCTGAATGTTTTCAGTTAAATGATTTAAATCAGTTTTCTAGTAACTAGTTGTGAACCTTAATTCAGACGCCTTACCTGCAAATTTACGAACAAATATTGAAGAGAAATTTGTTTTCGTGATTGAAGTTTTTTTTGCGATTGTTACTCTGTGACTTTTGTTTCAGTGAATACATAGGCTTGGCCTGTGCTTTTCTCCTGGGCTTCGGCGATGGCTGCATTGAAACAGAGGTAGACGTTGTTTATGTCTGTTAGTTTTTGCTTTGACTAAATAAGAATAACTTTTTTCTTTTAGATAATGAATATTCTGGTCACGAAGTATCCAGGTGATTCAGCACCGGCATTTGCACTTTTCAAGTTCTCACAAGTGAGTAGCTCAAACTGTTAGCTATCAAGCTCTAATGGAACTGGATTAATTGTATTGAGAGGCTGTGAGCTTTTTCAATGTTTCTTAAAACCTTTTTCCTTTCAGAGTCTGGCGTGTGCAGTGGCGTTCTTTTACAGTACATATCTGAACCTAAACTACCAGATTGCTATCGTTATTTCATGCAATGTCATAAGTTCTCTCGGCTTTTTTGCAGCTTCGGCCATTTGAACTGCTTTTGCTGCCAAATTATATTTTTGACTGAAATGTTTATCAGCTGTATTTATTTTTTTAATCTATTTTAATTCGAAATCATAAATGATAAATCCAATTTAGCTATTAGATATATTTTTTAAAGTAAGCAAATTTAACTGGAGTTAAACTTTCGATCATACTAAATGGCAATAATTAAAAAAAACTATTCTATCAAAAAAGCAAAGTAATAATTTGATTTTCAGATCAATGATTGGTTGAATCGAACCACTATGTTCGCTTCGTTGTTGATCATGACAAGGTAGACTGTCTGAAAAGTTTGACAAATGAAGGGTTGGAATGATCCACCACCTCCAAGCGTGGTGTCGGGAGGCGACAAAGCTACTGCGGTCAGTAACCCATTTAGAGGTCATTTAATGAGAAATAGCAGTCCTTCGACAAGCAACCACAAACGAAGTTTCTCGGGTGGAAATGTACATTTTAACCCAATGAATCATCAAAGCCAACGGAATCCGCAAATTTCAACATCCAATGCAGATTCTTCAATGGCGCCGGGTAACGTGCCTTCTCTTTTCGTGCCAAACTTGGACCGTTCAAACTCGGTAAATAACAGAGTGCCAGCGGCTAGTTATCATAACAATCCATATCCACCGAATCAGTTACCATTCAACGATGCTACTAATCAGTTAACACATTCCTCTCTGAATACTCCGCAAGGTAACAATTCTGCTCTACAAGCGACTGAAATATCACGAACACAAAGTTGGTCTAATTTCCAATCCCCGACCATGTTTCCAACCCCGGTTCATTTAGATCAGGCAAGTTTAATCCAGGGTAATTCTCTGAAAGTATACAGCCCTATATCTCTACCAGGGTCGGCGTGTCAGCCCTCCACTCCGCAAAGTGAAGGTGAGAGAGATGAACTGGCCGCAGCTCTGCAGGAAAGGCTAAAAAATGTTCAACTACATAGTAGCAGTATTATAAATTCGAACCCAAATGTATCCCCCTTATGTTCGCCGTTTTCGTTCAGCCCGACCCGAAAACAGGGAGGCAATAACAACTCAGCAATTGATAGCCTTACAACGAATTTCGCAGTCGATGAAACGAAAAGTAAAGTTGATGAGTTGTTTCGAATCTTCACGTCAGACCCATCGAATGAAAAGTCACAAGTTGAAAAACTGGAGACAAAATTAGATTTGTTCCGAAAATCTTGGAATGCATTGAGCGATTCATTGTGCAGTTTGTTGTCAAAACTGGTGTTTTGCATTACGACGAATCAGACCGATTTAGCTATGCGATGTTTCATCAAAATGTCGGTCGATTACTCTAAGGAAGTTATGATGTGGTCAATGGCCTTCAAACGTTTGATTCGATATTTCGAAGAAAAACCATTATGAGCCACCGGAAGCAAACTGAGATCAAACATCTATCAGGATAAACTTACCAAATTGTTGAAAAACATCTCTTAGGAAACTACTATTTACCGTGACTGTCATATCTATTTAAAAATCACTCTGTATAACCATTATAATGCTGTTATTTTATTTCTATTTATCTTGAGTAGATCATCAAACAATCGAAATACGTGCGTCAATCTAAAAGGTTAGCCCATAAAGACAGCATTGAAACCAGAAATAGGTTTTTTTAAAGCTACCCGAATTGTTTTTTGGATTCAACAAAATCTAAACAAGTGCAATAGTTCAAGCTCAAAAACTTGAGAGAGATGTGTAAATATGCATATAAAAATAAAAATTAATTGAAAGTTTTTTCTTCAGCTGAGTCATCAAAAAGTATAAACAGTGTGCGAGTTTGTATCATGGGCAGTAAGACCAGACAAACAAGGGTCCAGCTCTCCGTAGTCGGGGAACCATGTTTCTTTGTAGTATTACCCTTGCGGGTAAGCAAGGGTATTACAATCGGGTTCTAGACTTTTTTCCCGTAAACATCTTTGTCCACAAGACTCATTGTAATCCTGATGTACCTTGGTTCATAATGAATTGAAATTTTGTAGTGTCTCTTGCGCACTTAGCCTTGTGGTAACGAAAATGCCTGGAACGGCAAAGGTCCTGGGTTCGAATCTGACCAGGGCCTTTTTTTCAAAGGGTTAATATTCCGGTTCAAAAAAGTTTCGGTCTATTATTTGTATGCTTATGTTTTTTCGGCTTAGTTGCCACATCAAAGAATCGTTTATTATAGCTGTGAAAAATTTTCTTTGCAGTTGCTTTTAGCATTTTAATAATCCGGCCTAACCGTAATTCGTTTTTCACAATGGTTGTAATTTTTGATGCTCGATTTGTTAATTTTATTTTTCATTTGTTGTTTTTTATCGGCTTAATAATTTTCATTTCAAATAATATCGACTTCGTGGCTTCTTATTGCGTCATTGCGACCGAAGAAATTTTTTGTGAGTGTGTGTGCTCTGAGGGCAAAGGGACTTAACATTTTTATAAGTTTAAAATTTTTTGGCTTGAAGGGTCTCTGCTCAGGTGTTTTCGGCTTTGTTACCGCTTGGTAATTATAAATTAAAATCTAATCAAACATCCGGCGCAACTAGCGTAGAGGTAAAACAACAGCTTGAGATGGCAAAGGCTTGCGGTTTGATCCCGACCGGGCATTTTTGCAAAGTAGAGGTTAAGTGCTTTTTTGCATCATCGTCCGTCTTTTTGTCGGCTTGGTTGCCGTAGCTCAATGGTTTAGCTTCATTTCGAGTTGCTGAACCTCCCTCCATGCTTGAGACTACAGAGCCCGGAAGTTCGATTCCAGTTGAGACCTGTTTCTTTGTTTTGCTTATAGAAAATTTTGTCTAATTTAGATTGTCTGTCCGCCTTTTTGTCTGCTTACTTCCGCTGAAAGGACGTTTTTGAAAACTTGCTTTCTTTGTTTCAGTAGCAAAGCTCTTTGCAGAGTTTCTAATGGTGCAGGCAATTTGTTCCGGATATTTTGGACTTATGCAATTTTGTTGACAAACAAAAAAAGATTTTTTTTTTCAAGATTTTTTGTTCGTTTTTTTTTTCGTTTGATGCTAAGCATAGTCATTGTATCGCAAGTGATGCAAAGCTCAGCTTCGCCTGTGTGTTTACTACGTCTCATCCTTGATTTGACGCCCTGGTCCTTTCGACGAGGGCAGGACAGGTATTACGAAGCGCTGGAAGAATTAGAAACGTCTGCTTTGTTTGTTAATGATAATTTTAAAATTTCAGGCATTTTTTTCATAAAATTTTTCTTTTTATGCAGGTCCCATGTCGAGAGAATTTTTTGAGCCTAATTACCCTATGCGAGAGAGTGTGTATTTTTCTTTACATTTAATTACCCATTTTAATTTATTTTTTATTTAGTGGAGCTTTTGCCATAGTCACTATATGTAGCATCAGAAATTTCATAGCATCTGTTCTCTGCTTTATTGGATGATAGTGTTAGCCGATCTTCAAGCGACCGTGGCACAGATAAAAGGAAGTGAGACTCCTACTCTACAAGTTGGAGCTTTAATTACGCCATAAACACTACTTTTGATTTTTAGTGACCTCTTTGCTGCAGTAGAGGCAAATTATTAACATCTGTAGCTGCTTAAATTGTGGCTGGCGAGGGCCTGTTAAATGTATCTTATCTGAAGTTATTACTGGTTTCGATTGTTTTTTTAATCAGCATTTTCCGTAAAAATTTTTCTAGCAAATGAAAAGTGAGATGTAACTTGCTTCATAGTGATTCAAAATCGAATAGCCGCGCCTATATTTTAACTTAAAGCTAACTCCCCTGCCTGAGGTGACAAGGGTGCTGAATTCGAATACTGCCGGGAGTCATTTTTTTTCCAATTTTTCAGTTTTTTTCTTTACACTAGCATGCAGTGTGTTACTGCGAACTTTTTTTCTAACTTAACTAGCAAATAAAAACGGTTCATTAAGTATTCACTTCTTTGGCACTTTTGCTATAATAATCACGATCTGTAGCATTGGAATTTTGTAGCATTGGAATCTGTTTTCTTGTTCTCTGCTTTATTTGTGGCTAGTGCTTGTGGTTTACTAAGCGTCCGTGGCTGAGTGTTTAGTGGGTGAGACCAGGGGTGGATCCAGGATTTTCTCGGAGGGTATTTTCAAAAAATTTTAAAAAATTTGTTGACCTTTTTGATAGGTCGACTGAAAAGATTTTCCGAGCTCTCTCCTCAAGCACTAAAACGACCCTGTTCCGGCCGAATTTTCTGAGCCGCAGGCAAAATTCTGAAAAAAACAGCTCATAAAGGCGTTTTGAGCATTTTTTGGAAATTTTTGACTCAAAAAAATTGCTTTTTTTTCGGCGCGCGCTTCACCCTCAAAATTATAAAATTTAGGCGCGAAAATTTAAGAGCCCATCGGCCAAAAATGGATATCAGAAAATAGTGCGAAGAGGGTGACCCTTTGGGTCGGCAGGAGGTCAAATCCCTGAGGGGGGCGTTCAGCCCCTCTTCCCTTAAATCCGCCCCTAGTATCATAGTATCCTGGTCGCAGATCGAATCAAGGCGTTGCCAAATTACTTATTGGAAGATTTTTCACATTTTTACGCTTTATAGAGCTGTTTTTGTCGTTCTCGCTGGTGTTTGTGGAGCGCACGTTCAGCTCTGCGTGAAAAATTTATGATTGGGTTATCGTGTTTCTGCTGAAATTTATCGGCATCCCATCTAAAAAATGGGAATATTTTCTAATTATAAGTTTTGCTGTTATTGAAATTCATTTTGGTTAGTTCCTGTAAATTGTAAGTTTGCCATCTTTGATTTTGTACAATCTTAACTTCTTTCGCTATAATTTTTTTTAAAGAGTCGATGAAAGTTGTTCGGATTTTTATATAAATCGTGATAAATTTTCACTTTTTTTTCCGGAAAAATGCATGCTCAATTTTAATTTTTCGTGACTTAAAGTTTTATTTTATATTAAAATTTAGTTCATATCCTATGCCAAAAGTAACGCAAACTACACCACTGAAAAGTTATAGTGTAAATTTCATGAAAAACGTAAAATGATTTTCCAGCGAATTAATTATTTTACCTATTGATCCTGTTTTCTCAAATGGGTTAATTTTATTTAAAAAGAGTCAAACCTAAATTGTTCTGGAAATTAAAGAAGGTTGAAGCCCACATATTTTTTTCTGAGAAATTCGGTAGTGTTTTTGGTTTAGATAAATATTGGTTCAA